TGCTGATGTGACACTGGGTCAGTCACAAGCTCTGGCACAGCTGTTCCTGAAAGAGCTGTTTGTGTCAGAGTTCTCTCAGCCCCACCCACCTCACAGGGTGTCTGTTGTGGGAAGGGGAAGGGAAAGGAGTTTGTAAGCCGCTCTGAGACTCCAAGTGAAGGGCAGGGTATAAATCCAATCTCCTCCTCCTCTTCTTCTTTTTTTCTCTCAAAAAGTCATCCCAATTATAAACATTATAAACCCTACAAGATTCACAGGTAAGTGTGTGCCAGCTTAATATGTACAGGATCCATCTCCAGGAAAACTGAAAGCAGATCTCATTTCTCCTGTCTCCCTTTAAAAGTATATATCCCCCTACGTATATATTCCAAGCTAGAGATGCAAAAAGCCATGGGCAGCCCCCTTAGTTTAATTCTGCTCCTGTCGCCTGGTCAGTATTGCTGGAATTCCTTAGTATTGGTGTCTGCCAATTTTCCTAACTCCGGAAGGTAACCTGCTTGGTTTTCAACTGCAGGAACACACAGGGTGAACCATGAGAAGCCAGGATTCGTCCCTCTGCTTCTGACTTCAATTTTGTTTTTGTTTTCTAAAGCAGGTTTAACATGATACTGATATGGGTTGGAAAGGATTCCTTCGAATAGCAAACTTGGAATGCCCCATGGTGAGCAGTAGGAGTGTGAAGAGGGATTACCCATAAACAAGATAGAAGTTTTCTGCATAGATGGGAAGCTTTTCCTGGGCGTGTAGAAACAGCTTTAGTCAGGGGCGATCTCTATGTATACCATTGTATACAAGCTCTCCTTGTATGTCAAATTGTTCAGACTCTCGACAGTGAGGACCCTCCCCACCCACAAAGAAAAGAATTCTTCTGAATGCAACTGGAGAGGACTACTCTGAGAGGCAAACTGCATCACTTCCTGTACTCAGGTTGGTCATCTCCATTATGCTCCCAAGGACCACGAAAGAAGAAGAGAGAGGTTGGAGGCTTCCTCCCTGTTCCTTTTAAAGATCAACCCAAATTATTTGCTGGTGCTTTTGTGTTCTGGGGATTTGTGTTCTTGATGTGGAATCCACTGCTAACACAAGCTTTGGGGCTACCTGGTGTCCTAGGTTGGGTTGCTCTTGTCAAGGTTTCTTCAGAATGAATCATTGAAGCCTGGCAGAGCTTGATCTTTGGTGCTTCCTCTTTAACATAATTCAGATGAACTGTTGGATCATGTCGAGCCCCAACCATGCGGTTGTGTCTCATAAGGGATGATGCTTTTCATCCTTCTGTGCTTGCACTAAAGATTGACACAGTCTGGTTCTATAAAGAATGACAACAGAACATATTTTCACTTCAAGTAAAAAGGCAATGTGCCAATAGTTCAAACACTGCCATAAAAATGTCTGGAAAAACTAGGTGGAGATGATGGGGTGGGGGAAGTGTTAAATTGTGGTGCTGTAAAACCGGGCTGGATCACACTGGATATGATAGTTTTTGCATCAGCGCTCGTTCAAATTTTTCAAGTATGAGAATCGTCATTCCTTAATGTACAGTCACCAAGGAAAGGTAGGTGGAAATATCCGAGTTTGTTAGGAATCAACTGGCAAACATCCTCTTTTCTCACCATCAGGATGCAAACTTGGACAGAGCCATATCATCCCGGGTAAAATATCCAAATTCATTCGAAATCAATAGGGAAGCATCCTGTTTTCTGAGCATCTCAAGAATATTCACTTTAATGTCTGGGAGTTGATATAAAATTCTGCCTAGCCATGAAGCAACGTAAATTGGTAGGATTCAACATTTCTGCTTGTAAAAGAGAGGAGGGGGGCCTCCTTTTGGATACTGAAAATGCTATGTGGCTTTCATGAACAAAAAACTGTGTTGAGTGATCTATAATAAACATGAAATTTAGAAAATCTGCAACAGAAAAGCTGGTAGGACCCCATACATTCTGTTTGAAATCCTGAACTGTCTGCATAATCCTCATCCAATCAAATAATTTTTTTAAATCCAGTTAACTTATTTTTTTTTTGGGGGGGGGAGGTTGTAATAAACAAGCAACTGGGTAACTGGGTCCTGTTTTCCAAATCTACATGAGCACTAAAAGGAAGTAATGGCTGTGGAATCTCTGTTTTGCCCTCTGTTGGTAGGATGGTGAATTGCATTTTCACATTCTTGTGCTGAGGCTGGAGCTGAAGGTCAGAGAGCAACTATTTTTTAAAGAAATCAGTAATGTCCTCGGATCAGGAACATCTCCCCCCTTCTCTTTATCCTTCCCCTTCCTTATTTTGTCATGCCATTTCTGCAATTAAAAACTGGGCTTGTGTTGTGCTTTTATGATTACAAAGCGCTCGACAACTAAATGGGTATTTCAGTCTTTGAATGTTTTTCACGTTGAGTCATATCCCTCCACGGTGGAAGAGCAGCAAAAGGAACCCGTGTGTGTGTACATATTTGCCTATGGAGCTATGGCTTTACTGAATATATTGCAAAAGACTTGGGGGGGATTTTTCTATTCCCTCCCCCGTTATCATCTCTTTCCCTTCACTAATCCCCTATAGCCTCCCCATTTTTCTGCTTCCTTCTTTCCTTCCTTCCCACCCGTCAGCCTACTTGCCCCTGCCTTCAGCTTTCCCTTCTTTCCTTCCCCTGGCAACCTCTCCTGTAAGAGAAGAGTTGCATGGCGTTGAAATTGCACACTGCTAGCTGAAGCAGCAGTTAAGATGCTGAACTGCAGGCTGGAAGGTCAGCAGTTCGAGACCCGAGTGCCACATGATGGAGTGAGTGCCCAGCTCCTGCCAACCTAGCAGTTCGAAAGGAAGAAATTGAAAGTAGATAAATAGGTACTGCTTTGGTGGGAAGGAAACAGCATTCTATGCACCTCGGCGTCTAATCATGCCGGCCACATGACCACAGAAGCATCTTCGGAAAGTACTGGCTCGTCAGCTTGGAAACAGAGATGAGCACCTCAACCCTAGAGTCGGATTTGACTGGCTTTGGAGCAAGGGAAACCTTTACCTTTACTAGCTGAAGCAGTAGATAACTTGCAAGGACTTGGGTTTATTTCTGGAGGAGTTACACCTACCACAGACCAGCAAAGATAATTGTGGGGCTTGTGGCAATAACCCATG